CCCTTTTCCACCTCCTTCTGCCTTTAAAGGAGGTTTCAGGTGGAAAGTAACCAAAAAATAATAATTAACAAACACAGTGAGAGAGTGGACCTGCTGTCGAGCTGTTTTCCCCTTTACTGTAACCACAGGCAACCTTCCTCCAGCACCACCCACCCCGAAAGATCCGATCCCCTTGAGCCATCCCCACAACCTTGAACACCATTCAACCTTTCATAAACAGAGATTTTATTATTACTTCTTAAGTGGGAAACAGACACGTACCTTCCAAATTATCGTTTTTAATGGAGTTAAAAACACAACTTTAAAATACACGAACATCCAACCCCTGCCCGTTGGCAGCCCGGCGCCTCCCGCTGCCCTCCCGGGCTTGTCCTGGCGACGCTCCCTTGTGTCACCGGCGCGAGGCCTCCCTGGAGGCGCCGAGTTACGGCTACGTTGGCAACACGACAGAAGATGATGGAGAACAGGGGTATCCCCAGTACAGCAACACACGGCAAACGTGGGGATTGCCCCGGCGTCTCGTCCACAAGCAGTTACTCTCCGACGGCAAAGACTTCAGGGCGAGAGCAGCGGAGAGGCTCGAGAGGCTCCCGTGCACCGGCCGAGGGTTTCACGGCACCCAACACCTTCATTGAGGCTCCCAGCCTGCCATCAAGATACACCAAACATCCCCAACAAGGTGTTTTTTCCCCCCTCTCCTTAAGTTTAATTCTACTGTAACAAACTACATTCTAAGTTACTCAACCCAAAACAAAGGAAAAATCGGCTTTATTGGCTTTTGAATTCTGTAAGACTGACCTGCAGTAACCATAAGTTTGAACTGTCAAGTTGACTTCTTTAGACTATGTAAAATAACCTGTGTTGTTAAACTGCACCTTTTGGGGTACATTATGGATTAGAAAAACCTGCAAGAGGCTTGAAAGCAGTTACATTAAATAATGAAATTCAGCCAACTTCTTTTTTTAAGAAAAAAAGAAAAAAAAAAACACAGCCCTGAGAAACATGGCTCAACTAGCAAGAGCCTAGTTGAAAAACCACCATTATAAGCAAAAATTAGGATCTATTGAAATCATGAAATATTATTTGCCAACATTTGAGGCAGGAAACACTGCAGTCTTCCCAATTCTGTAGAGTAATAACAAACTCATTGAATTGGAGTCATAAAGAAAAAAAAGCATTATTAGGAGCGGAAATACTTTTCTTCATCTCCTAGTTTTCACAGCCTTTATATTAAGCAATTGCATCAGCTACTAGAAGTTTGTAGTTTTCAGTTTTGACACAGCTTAAAGTGTTAAAATAGTGCTACAAAACATGTAGATGGATAAGATTTTTTTAATGTAAAGCTCTGAGCGCAGAATTTCGCTTAATGTTTTATAGGGATCTTAAATATGCACTCATATGGACTATTGATCACAAACAAAATCTTGTTGCAAATGATTCTGACAGCAAACTGAAACATGCTACTTTGAAAGAAATGGCTGAAATATTTCCTCTAATTTAGAAGCAACTTCTTACTGAAACTTGAAGATTATGCTTAAGACTCATGCTAAACCACAGGTTTACACATTACCTGTGGGAAACTTCATGCATGATGAGCCAACGCTCTGCACTTCCACAGCATTTGAAGTGCTTCACAAAAGACAAGTATATAGTTAGCACAAACCTCTACTGAAGTACTGAACCATCTAAATCTTGCAGAACTGAAGGTAGGAATAGAAGGATATCTTTAAGTCCCAAGAAGGGCTACTGCAATAAGATGGAGGTCTCAAAACCTGTATCTTTAGACTGCTGTAGTATGTGAAAATACCAGGCAGACCAGGACCTAATGCAGAAACTAGAAAACAAAACAAAAAAAAACCCCAACCAACCAAAAAGAAAATACCAGCCCTTGTCCCAAAGAACTTAGTCCAAGTAAATGCTTAAGGTTGTGGGCCCGTGGCATCTAATCCCTGACTTGCAACACATGTTCTAAAGGAGAGTCACCTAAGAGTGGATGAAAGCACTCTTGTAAGGATAAATACAAATCTTACCATTTCAGGCATTTTAGAAGTATACAGTGATAGCATCTAGAACTTTTGTTCAGGCATTTTAGAAGTATTCTGAATACAGTGATAGCATCTAGAACTTTTGTTAAGTTTGATGCAGTGGCCTAAGACTTCCCACTGGACATCATTAACACCATTAGTAATGGTTTTGGTATCTCTAAAGCAAACGAGGCCTCTTTCAGCTACCAGTATGATGGAGAGGCCAAACAGAGCATATACTGCAGATTAGACTACTAGGCACACCCTTCAAGCTATTCTGAATGCATTTCAACCTCTTGCATCTATGGCTTTTTTAAAAGCAGTTTTGTCCCTCCAGTCAAGGCGCTATTTATAGAGCTCACCTACAACCCTTATGGTGCTGGGCAAGAGCATGCAGCACTGTCCTGCACCTGCCAGGTTTCACGGGGAACTGTGCTTCCTTACCGGGGTAGATTTATTGCTGTCTTTACCTTCATTGTGCTCCTCTCCCTGTCACAAGAAGGCTATGGAAAATGTATGGTTTTTGCCACCTATATTAGACCTCCAAGATTTGCTAAGCCCTAACACGGCAGGTACAAGGACACATCAGGAGAGCTGCCGTGAGCCCTTTGGGAATTAAAGAGTACATAGTATTAAGCTCCAAACATTTTAAGTAGTTAACAGCAACATGAAGTCTGACTCTCATTGCCAACAGAGCACGAATTGTGCCCCAGGCAGCATGTCAACTGTTTACAAGTTGTCCTCAATTAGCCAATAGCTACTGAAGCTTAAGGCAAGTTTATGAAACAATTCAGTTTATGAACTGTGAAGAGAGGTTTAAGCCACGGGCAAAAGAGTTACTCCCTTATTAAGAGACACTAACTATTAGAATTCAAGTGGAGCAACACAAACAGGAGTAGAGTAGTTATCCTTCTGTGACTAGTTTTGTAAAGCTTCGTTTGCCTGCTAAGCTGCTAACAAGTTAGAGGCATGCATATGTGTTTTAACGACTCAAGGAACTCCTATGGATAGGAGCCAGCTTTCTAAACTATGAAGCATTTACTTCTGTAATTTAACTATGGTTGTTCTGTATTGCCCGTCAAGTCTTTATTTTGACAATACTATAGATTTACTTTCAAAAACAATCACATGCATTTAGTTTAGGCTCAATGCTACAATATGCCCCACTTCTTGAAAAACCTTGTGCTACAGAAATATAGTTTCAACCTGAAGATTAAAACCTAGAGCTGGAAGCACTGCAACAGATTCCCATGGAGTTTGTCACCCTTTTATAGTTTCAGATAAATACAATAGAGGAAAGCAATTGAACTGCGTTTTTCTGTTTTTATTTTTCAAGTCTGACAAAGGCCTCGAGTGAAAGTCTATAGCTTTAACATCCATCTCACCTTTGTATCCCCTTAACCTACCTATATTGTATCTACCAATATTCCAATGCCCACCTAAACCAAAGGTAGGCTTTGACACCATTTTAACATTACAATAAGCCAAAAATTGGCAAAGAAGAGTACAGAGGTAATACAGTTAAGTTGCACATGGCCACAGGGGCTTTGTCAAGCCAGCTGGCGTTTTTGATCACTTGAGTTTCTTGGTCTAAAACTAGTGATTGGCACCTACAGTTCTGCAAGAGTCCCAATCCACAAAATACTTAAGCTTTAAAAAAAAAAAGAAAAGAAAAAAAAAAAGCTACTTTTATTGTCAGTTCTATGTAAATATGTCAAGAAAAATACTATTTGTGCTCTAGGTCACTTTATAATCCTAGATACCTACTAGCTTATCTAAAAGCCCCTGAATACTGTATTTTGTCTGTTCATACAGACAAACACTGTTTTGCTCAAGCAAATAAAAATATATCCACTAATAACACCTGATTGGTTTCTCAGATCCATAGCTGAAACCCACAGGAATGTTAAAATAGTTACAATTAAGGAATTAAAATCTCAGTGATTTTGAAAACTGCCAGTTAGCCTGCAACACTAATCCAGAATCCAGCACTGCTTTTTAACAATTCAAAAAAGAAATGAGGTTGCTTGTGAAGGCCAGAGCTTTGGTGACAATCAGAATCAAATTTAAAGATCTGTGATTTGTCCAGACCTGAGCAGTTGCCCGAGTCTGGTGATCCTCTTTATTTGCAAGGCTTTATGGCTACAGCACATTCTTCATTCATTGCACTTATGACAGATATCTGGAAGAAAAGACAGACAGGTGAGCTCCAACATGTGCCAGAGGAGACACTCAGAGAAGTTAGACACATTTGATTTTAGTATTTATCCCATTTCCCATCTGAGAAGAAGGGAAGGCTGAAGCAGGTGGTTCAATTGCCACATGACTTAAATATTTGCCCTTCACACTAGTTTGCTCTTCTGCCATCTTCTCTTTGCTTTATTGCTTTAGCTGGCAGCCTGAGGTTCATACAACAGTGGAAAGCAAACACGCTCCTACAACGAAGCCATGCCAGCAACTGGTACTGTACACAGTCTGCTACAGATTACAATCTACACACCTACTCGCAGACAAGTTTGCTAGTACAGTGAATTACCTTTATAGTCAGATCAAAAAACGTTTTAATCAAGAGTCAGCCCTAAAGTTTTTGACAATTACTACAGCTCTGCACTCTGTCCCCATTAAGCAAGTGTGGAGCTTCAATCCACACCGTACCGATCCACGCTGGGTGCACAGCACCATTAAGATGGATCTAGCATTAAGATGCACCTATGCAGCCTCACTGTCAGCTGAGCCACACTGCGCTGCTAGACAGATCACCTGCATCTCAAAGAGCTAACTCCCATACCTCTAAACCTCTATTCCTAAAGAGATATAAATGGTAACTATCAGAATAAGACAGTTCTCGGTAGAATCAGGTGGAACTAACTGTAACTCTTCTCATCTGCTACACTTACCTGCACATCTTCACTGGCATTGAATTTTCCTTCTATTTCTTTGCCAAGATCACCTTCTGGTAACTTCAGATCCTCACGAACTTCACCACTTTCTGTCAGCAGGGAGAGATAGCCATCCTGGATACCAATGAGCTATAAAGAGAAGGTCATTTTTAGGAAGCTTAACATTAGCAGTCATTAGTACACAGTAGCTAAGAAAAGCACAATAAACTGTTACATTATTTAAGTACTGTATTTGTAGCAGTTAAGAATGTAAACCAGTTTTAACAACAATTTTAGAGTGCCAGGAGTCACAGGCAACTACGGCAAAAGACAATCTGCTATTCAAGAATCACTGAATCCCATTAATTACTTCAGATCAACTGCAGCCAGATTCTGCACCAGAAGCAGGATTCAAGTTAGAAGTGGCATCAGATGCTGCGTAAGACTGCCTTGTTGATTCACATACCCTAAGGGTGAAATTTAAATGACAATATATGCTTAGATTCACATTTATTTGAAGAGAGATCTTGACTATTCTTCAGCTAATAGAAAGTCAGAGTAGAGGCAACAAATGCTCTGAACACAATCTCTTGTGCCATTCACTTGTCACTTCTAAAGGCTACCTCTATAATGAGAGGTTTGCAATACAGAAGCTCTCTATCTGGGAGCTCCCACTGATTTAACAATTCAGTAAATACCCCTTTAGACACAGATAGTACCATTGAACTAGTAGCAAGTTCACCGAATCATCAATTTCCCATTTTCTGACAACAGCAATTTATTAGTTGACAAGCAGTTTCAGGAGGAAGAGAGTTTACTTGTGGTATTAAAAATTTAAAGCTCTTTAATATGAGGAAGATCACACTAACTCACTTGATAATCATTCCTCTTGATATTTGGAACATCCATGTTATGAGTTGAAGGACAAATATCTTCGTATTTTTTACCAGTGAAGATGTCGATACCAACCAAGTGGACCTACAAGAAAAGAGAAAAATGAGTTATTGCTGGTCCTGGAAGAACAAGATATCACTAGTCTCAGTCTCATTAGTTTCACGCAGTTATATTAGAGGTTACACGTAGCCTACAAGATTCTACCTGAACCCTTTGCTTGAGATATGAAAACAGTTGAAGCCTAAAGAGAAGGCCTTTCAGAAACACGCTTGCACAGCATATTACAGAAACATTACATGAAAACGTAGATTAGCCTTTTTCCATAGCCAGTTTCACTATAAAAAAAAGAATTAAAGCTCAGCATAAAAATGTGGCTATTAAAAGAACTTTTACTTAAAATTCTAGCTCTCCTGGGAAATTCAACGACGTCAGTGACAATGTGAGGTTAAAGAGAAAAGAAGCTGCACAGAGATTAAAGGAACCGGCCTTTATGCTAGGAGCAGCCATCCACTGCAGCGAGCACGTGGGTTTCCAGTTTATAGCCTACTCTTACTGCATCCCCTCATTCTCACAATTGTTTCAGTATTTAAGGAATCTGAGTCAGACACACCATAACATAAAACACCCAAAACTGAACTGAGGGAGGAAGGGGTAATTTTTTTCATTTAAGTAACATATGCATACAGCATTCAAACCCCACAGGCCCAGTCTGCATGCTTTTCGCAGCTGGGGAAACCTAAGAATCCATTTAGCCCACGCTTGTAACAGATCTCCCTGCTCTTGAACTTTAATATAGCCACCACAAAGTCTTGCTGAGTAAGTTCAGGGGAAAGGCTAGCCGGGATCCAAGCTCCAAACAGCTGCACAAGCCAACTGCTCGCGCAGGACTGCGGCCCAGCCAGCAGACCAAGAAGGGCCCTGGCGGGACGCACGAGGGGGAAGGCAGCCCACCCTGGTGCCAAGGAAATGCAAGAAGGCGGCAAGTGAAACAGGGCCAGAGCAGGCCCACGGAGATATGATTATCTACCATGCTCCTCGGGGTTATGTAACACATCGGGGGCATTTCTGGCGAGCGCTGGAGACCAGCGCGACAGCGCGGGGCTGATATCGCAGGCGGGCTCGGGAGGGCCTGGGGAGGGAGAGCACAACCGCACCCACAGCCTGGCGCTTCCACCAGCCCCTCCTTCCAGAACTTACTCCGGCCCTGCTCTAAAGCCACGCTTGGCCACCACCAAAAACGCGGCACAAAGCAAAGCCGAGCCCGTTCCCTTCTCCTTCCCGTTACTACAAACGCTGGCGCTGCCCTACGTGGATGTGGGATGGGGGGATTCTCTAGTGTCTCGTATGGGGTTGTGCTCGGGGTTTGGTGGACGTTGCCGATACGGTGACGCGTTGGGGACACCTTGGGGACACGTTGGGGACACCGTGGCCGTGCCACCCACCTTGGCGTGGCCGTGCTTGCCCATCTTGGACGTGGATGTGGGATGTGGGGGATTCTCTAGTGTCTCGTATAGGGTTGTGCTCGGGGTTTGGTGGATGTTACGGACACAGGGACACCGTGGGGACATTGGGGACACTTTGGGGACGTGGCACCCGCCTTGGCGTGGCCGTGCCTGCCCGTCTTGGACGTGGATGTGGGATGGGGGGATTCTCTAGTGTCTCGTACGGGGTTGTGCTCGGGGTTTGGTGGATGCAGGTGGATGTTGTGGACATGGTGACGCGTTGGGGACACGTTGGGGACACCGTGGCCGTGCCACCCACCTTGGCGTGGCCGTGCTTGCCCGTCTTGGACGTGCTCATCTCGACGATCTTGCAGGGCCGCCCCTTGAGCACCACGAAGCCGTTCTTGCGCAGCGCCGAGCACTGCATGGGGAACGTGGCCGAGGCGCCCGCGTCGCCCGTCTCGAAGTCCAGCTCGTCCGCCATGGCTCCTGCGGGATAGCGGCGGGATCGGCGGGAATAACGTTGGGAGGAGCGGGAATACCGCCGGATCAGCGGGAATACCGCCGGGATCAGCGGGAATAACATCAGGAGGAGCGGGAATAACGTCGGGAACAGCGGAGATAACGGCGGGGTCAGAGGGGAAACA